CAATCATTCTACTCACTGTCATAAAACATAGCTTCGCCATGAACCTAATGCCAAAGGCCACAGGCAGTACACAAACATACACATGCTCAGAGAAACATGCATACATATACAAAGATACTCACTGCCAGACACACACTCTCAGGCACACACAGGTAGACAATGCAACGACATATACAAAGACTAGTTCTCTATATCCAGTACTGCAAGCCCGCCCTTCAATATATCTACAGCTTCTTATACACACACAAGTCAACTGCTGTTTTTTTCAAATAATAGTGTTAGTGGGGGCCTCATGTAGGAGTTTCGCCTAAGGCCACGCCAAGTCTAGAGCCGCCACTGGGGGTAGTTAGTGCCAAACTACATTTTCTGCCCCATGTGCTATGTAACCTAAATACTCCTCTGGAGAAAAGTTCTAAAAGAGGAGCAAAGAGTATGAACATTCCATTGATTTCCATGGTAACTGCTGCACCTTCAGAACTTTGTCCCAGAATGCTTTATTATCTAATCTGTGTTTTAGTTGGTTTTGTTTACATTCAAGATTAAATTTACATGATTTACATATTAGGTGCCCTTCAGTGACAAAAACATGCCTACATCTCCCTATCATTATTATTATTAAAAATAAATATATACTTCAGATAAGATAAGAAAATGTCTTTATATGTTATCACAATGGCTCATACCCTGCAAACGTTTCCTGTGTGCTATGCCTACCTTTTGTTCGTTATTTCATTTTGATAGGATAGAGACCTTTTTGCATGAAGAAATACACGTCTCATGCAATTCTGTTTTGTATTGACAGACATCATACCGGATGATGAGATTTATAACTTGCCTGAGTTACATAAATAACAATTCAAATAAAAGAAAGGAACAAACAGCTTTGTGACACAGTTATTTACAGAACTTGGAAATGGTGTATACAGGATAACCATTAGGCCACAACTACCTTGATGATTAAACTGTAACTAAAATTAAAACAATGGTCTCATTGGCAAGTACCCACAGTGCATTGTGGGAAATTTGGCAGTGATTAAGTTCCTGAATGATAATATCTCCCATTACCATGATACTCTGTCTTCATGTTGAAAATAATAGCTCACACCTTTGCACTTAGTCACACTGTGACACACTCTTGCATTTACAGAATTTTTAACAAATCAGTGAAATACACATCAAACTGGGCTCTTTTAAAGGAACAGCATTATTATTATGCCATAGTGACCCTCTACCTAGTTGTACGTAGGTCCCCTTTCAAGTGCACTAAAAATTAATCAAATTGAGGTTTTTCTTACCTTTTTCAGGGGCCGAGACTCCCTTCACTCAGAGAATCACAGGGGACCTGAGGCACAAGCATCTTTTGCTTCTGGTTTGAAAGCATTGCCAATAGTGCATTTCTAAGAGCTGCTGTGTCACGAGACTGTGTTTTACTTGGTCAGTGCAGCAGAAGCACCTCTAATGGCCGTCAGTGGGACAACTAAAAAGGCATATTTAACTATTCAAGGTAAACGCTGCTTTTTCTGCAAAACGCCAATATTTTACCTTGAACGGTTCAACATACAGGACCACAGCACCCAGACCACTTCATTGAGATTAAGTGGTCTGGATGACTTTATTAGCTCTTTAGGTCAAAATTATTTTATGATTTTACTTTATTTTTTGTCCACTGTAGCATTTATGACCCTAGGCGTGGAGTGGACTGGTGGCTGACATCCTAAAACTAGAGACTCCTTAGAAATCCAGATGGATGAGATAAGGAAATGATATACACTGATC